AAAAAAAAAAAAAAAAAAAAAAAAAAAAAAAAAAAAAAAGAAAAAAACAGAGCCAGGCAAAGCTCAGAAAGCAAACCATATACTTTTGAATACTATAAAAACAGAGATCTTGGAAGTTACAAAGGCTAAACCATGCCTCCTCCTGAAAGTTCACATTAAAAATGAGCAACAGGGTCAAGATGGTGTAATAGACGGTCCCCAGAGTCACTCCCTCCCACAAATCAACCAATTTACAACTATAAAAAAGCAACAATAGCCAAGCTGGGGCTGCTAGAGCTCAGGGGAAGAAGAGGAGAGACCTACGGAGTTCATGAAGGCAGGAAAAGCCATGACGACAGAGAGAAAAAACTGCTCAGAGCATTTCAGGCTGCGGCTGCTTTAAGGCTGGAACTACTGAGCACACGGAGCAGGAACCGGCAAAAGCTGCAACTGTGTCCTTCGGATGAAGTTGCTTGGAGGTGGCAGGGGAGAAGAGAACCTTGGTGGCCTCCAGGACAGCAAGACCACTAATAGGATTCCGGTGGACCCACGCAGGAGTGAGGAGCCACAACAACTGAAAAAAGGAGCCATTCAGAGGCCGGTGAGGCATCACAAGGGACCAGCGCATGGCCCGTCCCGTGGGAAATGTTTGCAGCACAGATGGTGGGGGAGACAGACCCACCGGCAGAACACTGGGACACAGCAATGACAGCTGATCCACCCCCAATCAGCACAGGACCACTCAGGGGAAACTGATCAGAAATATAAAATTGCATGGGGTGCAGTTTGACTAAAAGACTCAGACCCAGATCAGTTTCTACACAACCCAGGTGCATCAGGTCTCTGGAGAGCCAGAATTACCTATAAGGTCACCTGCTAAACCCTGAGCTGCACAAAAAGCCTTTCCTAGGGAAAAAGCAGCAAAGCAGCAATTTAGCTCAACCACAGAGCTCAAGTGCTGGTCCCCACAGGAAGCTCCTCCACTTTAGAAGTAAGCAAAGGACAAAAAATTAGTTCCAGCCCAGGCACACCACCAGCACCTCAGGGCCCACCCGGGGTCCTGAGGCATAGAGCCGGGGACTGGAACCCCAGCCACTACCAGGCACACCACCAGCGCCAAGGAGCATGCCAAAAACATCATCTCCATGTTAGTGGCCCACCACAGCCACCACAGTAAACATGGCTGCCACGAAAGTGGCTAGACACACAACCACCATACAGATGGTCCACCAGCCACTGGAGTGCATCAACACAAGGAGAGTCACCAGCAGAGACCAAAGAAAAGAAGAGGATGTCTCTCTCCACAAAGCCCATTCTAGAGTGACAGAAGAAGCATGTGCTCTATGATAATATCGGGGGACCTGAACACACCTGTCAGCATTGGACAGATCATCTAGGCAACAAATCAACAGAGTAACCATTACTCTTTCAGAAGGAGAGAAGAAATCTAGGGTTATCAGAGGTGGGATGGGGGAGAGACAGGGGGATAGGAAGAGATTGGACAATGGACATAAAGAATAAGTACAATTTGTAACAATATATATACTAGTAATATTGATTTGATCAGCATATGTCAACATTGAACCCCCAAAATACGTATAATCAATTATGATTCAATAAAAAAAAAAAAATGAACAGAAAAATGTAAGGGTATTCTCTCACTCTCAGAAGAAGTTATATAAGAAAAATGTTATATACCACATAGCCAGCCACCAAAAAAAAGAAAGAAAAATGTGATTAAAAATTAGAACATCCCTAAAGAAGATGAAAGCATGCCAGAAAGACATGCCCACAAAACCAACCCAAACTGCTCCTACCA